TGCCTGTCGCTCAGCAGCAGCAGGGGCCAATTGCTTTCATTTGCTTCCAGCTGCTTGATGCTGCTACCCACTCTCTGGGCAGTGATTGCTGCTGGCGCAGGCTACTTTTGAGTGTCTCCGTCTCTCACGCAAAAATGGATTAGTGAGGGGGATTCGAACGAGCATGCCCGGGGGGATGAATTTGATAAATATAAGTCGCACATGGGCTGGAGACATTCCCTGAAAACTTCAGCTTCCCAGCTTTGCTAGTTCCCGAGTTAGCCGTTTTCCCGCCGAAAAATCTCATGGGGTCGTACGCGGGATTCTGCTGATAGCGGTAGTGCTCGCAATGCTTCTCATACAGTTACTCCTGCTGTCTGATCCCTCTTAGAGATATTCATCTGATCCGAATCGGATGTGCAGAGCGGATGCACACTGTAATTTTGCCAAAGGTTTTGATGACATTTGCGCTGCAAAAATACTAACTATTTCAATGATATACGCAAACGCTAATGCAAATTATTCTGATGCTATACATTTACTAACAGCAACCACTGCTAAGCGCGCACCAATGATCAATAACTGCTTTTTTGTACAAATGCACTGCAGTGGTACCACAGATTTCGGCGACTTTTATGTGATGGCAATCGGAATTTGTCAAACAAAAACAAATGCAGTAGAGATGGTGAAACACACAATCTCGCAATTAGCACATATATTAAGAGCAAATCAACAGTGGCAAGAATTAGTTAAGCAGTAGACGAACAGGCAAGCACACATGCGAACTTGTGTCAGACAGCTTGGACAGCTACGGTCGACGATTTGAGCGAACACGAATCGATCAATCAGTGAGTGACAGGAAGTACAATTAAGAAAAAATATCCCTAAATTCCTTCTCGCGCTCACTTAGCTTCCTGGCATGCTCCTCGTTTTCGTTGTTCAGCTGAAACAGCATTGGAACATGAGAAGGCCTGGTGGCTAGACAGTTGGACACTTAAAAAATCTGCATTTATCAGCCACAGATGAGGGCTACTTCTTCTCCTGGGAGTTGCTACAACAAACTTTCATCTGATGCTGACCAAGGCATATAATGTCGAAGTTTTCCCCTTCTTTTTGGGGGTGATCTGACCCAAAGAATTCAAGGACTCCGACTGAAATAGTTTTGCAATTCTTTCACTAGAACTGTCGTTAATATTATTAGGTGCTCAGATATGCATAATCCACCAAATTTCACTTTTCTCTGTGCTCAGAATAATACCTAGGTGTGCAATCGGCCATCTAAGGAAGCATTTTACAGCATATTTTGTCATGAAAAGTCTTTCCAGGCACCTAATGCGTCACAGTTCAGCTCTCCATTGGATTTTGCAAAAAGTATTGGAAATGTGTGTAATTCGCTCACTAGAACAGTCCGTAATATTAGGTGCTCAGGCATGCCTGATCCACCAAATTTCACTGTTCTTCGTGCTCAGAATAATTCCTAGGTGTGCAATCGGCCATCTAAGGAAGCATTTTACAGCATATTTTGTCATGAAAAGTCTTTCCAGGCACCTAATGCGTCACATTCTCAGCTCTCCGTTAAATTTTGCAAAAAGTACTGGAAATGTCTGTAATTCGCTCACTAGAACAGTCCGTAATATTAGGTGCTCAGATATGCCTGATCCGTCAAATTTCACTGTTCTTCGTGCTCAGAATAATACCTAGGTGTGCAATCGGTCATGTAAGGAAGCATTTTACAGCATATTTTGTCACGAAAAGACTTTCCGGGCACCTAATGCGTCACATTTTAGCTCTCCATTGGATTTTGCAAAAAGTACTGGAAATGTCTGTAATTCGCTCACTAGAACAGTCCGTAATATTAGGTGCT